TACGAGATGTTTAAGCAATAAGCAATGTATTTGCGATAAGCCCTGTGAGTCTACTTTTCCAAGTAGCAGATGGCAAAGAAAACACAGAGGTAAAGTGTTTTTGTTCCCTCTCAAACAAATGCTGTTATCTAATCAGTAAAATATATTGTGGGGGGAAACCAGCTGAATGCTCCCCTTTGCATATGTCTCTCTGGGTACACAGAGAAACTGGAACACGTAATAATATTGCTCTGACTTATGAACAGATGTGCAAATATATCTGTGGAACTGTTACAGAGCATTCTGGGCCTCCACATTAGCATTTTATTTGCATTTTAAGAACCACTTCAGCATCTGTTCATAGTGAGGAGTTCAACACTAGATCTGGAAAATACAGGGACTGGGAAAAAAGTGGGTGGAGTCTAAAGGTAATTTTCAAAACCAACAGAAAAGGTTCATTTTAGTAGGAAATGGATCTGAAGCCAAGCAAGTACTTCCCATTACCAATTCCAATTATTAGATGCAGTGAAAACTTTTCTCCCTTGGAAGGGAGAGAGTCCATGTGGTAGGAAAGTTATTTCCGATAGGCTTGTGATCTGAAAAAGGCAGCATCTCCTTTCAGACCTTCTTCTGCTTTAAAAGAGTACAAAAAACAGATGGTTAACTAAACTGCTTGTATTGCGTTGGACATTTAAAGAAATGAATGATGGATCAAGTCTGAGGATGTGTCTCGTCTCGTCAGGACTTCATTTCAGCGAGTCGTGGAAGAAATTTGCCTGCTGGTGCGCATTGACTTAAAGGCAAGTACTGCATCAGCTCTCATGCAAACAGGTGTGATATGGCAGCTGTGCTTTGTTTTTAAGAGTGGAGCTAGGTTCATTTGCAAAGCATAACAACAACAGTACCAATGCATACATTTCATTTGGCAAGGTTATCTATGGAAAAAGTATTTTGAGACCCTATAAATCAATAAAATAAAGCAAACGGGCAGAGAACCTGTCGGAGAGATTTGGCCCTTTTTCTGCTCTTGGAAGAAATGATGCCTGACAACCTGATCCCATGAACCACAACAGGGTTAGGGGCACAAGGTGTTGCCAGCAGAGAAAAGGGCAGACGCTTCAGTGCCAGTTGCAGTGCTGCTGCCTCAGAACTTTCTCCCGCTTCCACGTACAAGGGACTTTCTTCTACAGTCCATCCTCACCCCTTGCAGCCAGGTCTCGAGTGCTGCCGTGGGCAGGCGTTTTTGCTGGCTACAGCAGGGGCCATCCAACAAGAACCACCCACCACCGGCCCTCCTCTTCACCTGTCTCACCTGCTTGTTCATCGGTCTCCGTCTGGATCCAGACAACAGTGGTGGAGAGACGAAGGTGGAGGAGACGCTGCAGTCGATTTTCCTGCCGGCTCGCTTGTCTAGCAAGCCAGCAAGAGGTGCACAGATGTGGAGGAGGCAGGAACATCTGTCTGCAATGGCCGTGTGGAGGTGAAGGAGGGAGGCCGCTGAGGGTGGCTTGCCCCGGCCCTGCCAGAACCCGGAGCTGGCATTGTCTCTTTGCACAGGAACCTGAGGCTGGTCAGAGCAGTGCAAGGAAAAAAGCCAGCCTCCTTTGTAGCTTTTATACTGTGACAAAGAAGAGATCCGTTTTCCAGATAATGGGCGGCACCCACAGAAGGCTCTCCTGAAAAACCTCTGCATACTTTTCTGAAAATCCTACTGTAAATTGCTTCATTGCTGTTCTCAGTGTCTGCTTTCCAAAGCTGACGTTGCATGTACCTTCACCCAAAAGCAAGTCACATTGAAATCAGTGGGACTTATTTGCAAGTGAACATAGGATCACGCTGAACACCAACCAGGATGGCAGAGCCAGAAGTAAACACAAACGTTTTCATCTTATAGAAATGTTAAGTCACAGAAAAGTCAATAAGCACTAAATTAATTTTAAGGCTTTCATATGATGCTTTTAGTGCAATAATAACAACTCCCTTCTGACCCAGACCAGCCTGAAAAATCTTTTTTTTTTTGAGAAGCCAAAAATGAGAGGCACCATTTTATTTTAAAAACTAAATAGGTATCTTTAACGTTTAAAAAATGTTACTACAAGCTGGACTGTTAACTAAATCCCTTTCGGTTGTTTATTCAGGTGCAAATTCCCCTCAATGGGTTTTATTCCCTAATAAATGTTCTTAGGATTGCAGTCTCAGATAAAGAGCAGATAAATGATAGTGGCTAAAACATACCAGATATTTATAATGTCTTCAGAGAGCTATTCTTTCTCCAGAAGAAGCCAGTTCAATGGAACTGCCCTAGAAATGGAATTTATGTTCATTACTGTCCCTCCCAGAGCTGTAGCAGTTCAGCTGTTAGGATGTTTGAGGAGGGGAAGAGGCACAGCAAAAGCAGCAACTTCGGTGATTGATCTGAGACAAGCTTCCTCATCTTGATGCCTTGCACCGCAACCGGGGGGGGGGGGGTTGTGTGAGAGGTCCCCGTGAAGACAGCTTAGCACCTCTGCATTCCTTGAAAGAGCACCCTTGTCCTATGGCAGGCTTCCCCAACTTGGCATCCTCCAAATGTGGACTCCATATCCCATCATCCATGGTAGGAGTCAGGGGAGGCTGGTGTCTCCTTTGTTAACGGGGGTTCCTTGTCCACTGCAGCTTTCCTTCTGAACAGGTGGGTGGTGCTGACCGCCATCTCCAAACGAGGTTCAGCACCTTGGAGCGCCATCGCCACTGGATTCACAGCTCCTACTCCAGCCCTCTGCACCCAGCATGGCCCCTGGGTCGTGGCAGATGGGACGGCAGTACCTCTGAAGAAAGCCAAATTGGGGGTGGTTCGCCCTGAGGCAGGGAGATAATTTAGCTCTTTTAGGATCACAAAGCGCTGCCACTGGCTCATCTGAAAGAGGCTTTTCCCAGTTTTATTGCATAAATATGAGGATTAATGTGAAATCCAGAATATCTATAAACAGAAGTTGACAGGCCCAGGATGAACTGCATTTGTGACTAAATCCACTAACGGCGCAAGCAGGAGTCTAGAAGTACTTGGATTTCAGACAAGATGTTTATCACAGTATGGTCAGTACTTTACCATAAATAGCTGTAAATCAAGCTTCAGGGTCTATTTTGTGTGGCTGCTCAAGTCCCAAAGGTGGAAAATATATGAGCAGCATAGACCGGGCTTAGGAGCAACACACGCTGGAAACAAAACGCCTTATTACTGACAATACTTGTTTGAGAGAGAGGCATGGCACTTGAAGGAAAGTGGCAGAAAGTCCTGTTTTATTTCCTTGTATCTAAAAAGATCAGGGCAAATTTGAAACTTGAACAGTGAAGGGAAATTCAAAGAGATTGTTTTTTCTTCCAAAATGAAAACAGGAACATCTTGGGGGGGGGGGGTATTTATGGCTGCAGCATGAACAAGGACAATCCTATCATGTCTCCTCAGATGTAAAAACAATCCTGTTCAGTGGGTTTATTCCCAAGTAAAAAGGCATGTAAATGCAGCCTTAATGAATATGATAAAACCACTGAGGAAGCGATTCTTTTGTGATGCCTGGAAGGTTTTGAACTTGGGAGTCCAAGGAAGCCATGGTCCCATCAGCAGGCCCTTTCCACCCCTGCCCTCCATTTATACCCTCACAACTCTGCAGAGTAGGCTGGACTAGCCCAAGATCACCCAATGGGCTTCATGGTTTGAACTGGGGCTAGGAATGATAGGTGTTGTGGTCCAACACCCCCGCAAGGCACCAGGCGAGGGGAAAAGACCAGTGGAGCCCGATGGACTATCCTAGCGGTGTCAGGAAGACTGTGTGCTATTTTGGTGGTGGTCAAAGTGGCTTAATAAAAGTACTGGCCCAATGCAGGAGTTTCTTACAGTCAATACAGCTTCCAGCAATCTGAAAGGAGATCAACCCCGACTGCTCTTTAGAAGGCCAGATACTGAAGATGAAACTCAAAGACTCTGGCCACCCTACTGAGAAGGAAGGACTCCCTGGAGAAGAGCCTGATGCTGGGAACAATTGAGGGCAAAAGAAGAAGGGGACGGCAGAGAATGTGGCTGGATGGAGTCACTGGGGCAGTGAGTGTGGGCTTGGATGGACTCTGAGGGATGATGGACGACAGGAAGGCCTGGAAGAATGTTTTCCGTGAGGTCGCGATGGGTCGGGCATGACTTTGCGACTAACAACAAAGTCTTCCATTCCTAACAGTGGCCAGTCAGCTGCCCACAGGAAACCCACAAGCAGGACAGGCGCACGCGGCCAGCCCATTCCCTGGAAAATGCCATTCAAAGCACTGATCCGAAGCCAATACCGAACAGCTAAATTAGGAACAATGTCCAATAAGGCATCCCCACCCCTGGCTGTCAGAGTGTTTTTAAAATGCAATTTTCTGTACTAAAGGAACGGGTCAGAGGCATCCTCTCCATCTCACTGCTTTCCTGTAGCTTCTTTCCATGGTGAAAGCTGAGCATTGCCATGGATGTAGCTGTATAAAAGCCAGTAGTTGGGTGGATCTTTAAAAAGAGCAGAGCGAGGACAGTGCTGGATGCCAGTGCCAAGGACACCGCGTTGGCACAGAGGTGGCCAAGATGGCGCCCACAGGTACCCATAACCCACTTTCCACTTTAAAAAAGAACACCATTTTTGGAGTGGCAACTGAGGTTGCCCTAACGCAAATTCCCCTTGGTGCAGAAAGTGGAACTCAAAGCTGCTTTGCTTGGAAATCGCCTCTTGGGGCAAAGACTGCTGGGCAGGGAACTTGCCCTTTCCTACACCTCCCATGGCAACCATTTTGTGGCAGGGCTCCAGGGCGTGGAGCCAACTGCCCCATCTGCCTGGGGCCCCAAGTGGACCAGCCCTGTTGCCAACCGCTGGTCCATCCTCAGCGCTTGCCAGGCCCACGGAAAAAGCAGGGATCTGTCACTTGGTCTCAGCAGTGTGGTTTGCACTGGAACCGCCCTGAGGAAAGCGCTAGAAATAATTTCAGTATGAATCCCTGTTGCTTAAGAAACTAAGAGGAAGGAAGGGCTCCAAGGATTTTAATGTTTGTTTCTTATATTATCTGTTGCAAATGTTCTATTCATATAAAAATTCATTCAGTACAGTACAGCAGAAAAGTTATTGGAAAGTCAGGTGTGACTTCACAGATTCAGATAAAGCTGATGAATATTTCAGCCCTGCTCCTAGAGGCTGGAAACAAAGCCACAGCTGGTGGCTGAGGAAGGGTGGCTACAGGGAGCTGGAAACAGGCGGTGCCTTTGGCACGAAATCACCAAATGCCTTTACGCCAAAGAACGCCACTCGATGAGCTAAGCAAGCCTCATGCTGACTGGGCAGCTTTGGCCTTCCTAGGTACTTGTTTTGGGGATCTGGGTGCTTTCTTGGCTGACTGTCCGGCCTTTCTCGCTTTAGGAGTTGCTGGAAGCTTTCCAGTGGGTTTCTGAGGAGTCTTCTTTTCCAGGGCTCCTTGCTTTTGGGCCTTGGGCTCCTTGTCTTTTCGGAGCGGCTTTGGTTTCTGCTGGTTCGGTGCCTCCACAGGCGTTGCTTGCTGTGCTAGAGGAGTCTCTGAACGTGGGAAGGCCTTCCTCTTTCCAAGGAGAGAAGTCGAGCCTTTTGTGACTGCTTTGATCTCTTTTTCAGGACTAGGCTTCACCACCTATAGGAAAGGGGGCAAAACAAGGGAATAAAAGACACCACATGTGAGTCTGTTTATCCTTTAAAAAAAGGCAAGTGAGGAAAAATTATAACGGTGAAGTAATGATGCATAGGGTGGAATGCATTTCGGAACTGGCGCCATCACCAAAAAGGCCCTCTGCCTTACCCTAAATCCTTCAAGCCAGCAGCCCACAATTCCAGTTGACACAAATCACCCATATCCGCTCCTGCAGGTTTCCTTCACCCACTGAATCGCTCTCTCTGTCCCTCAGTTTCCCAACAGGAGAGCCCCACACAGCCGAGTCAAGTTCCCAAGCTATGTACCAAGGGGATGAGCTACCTGCCACATCGGCGGGGGGGGGGGGGGAAATGATGTCTGGGGGGGAAGCTTAGTCCCAACCTCATTCAGCCCACAGAAGGGTGATGGCCGGGAAGTCATCTGCCCCCAACTGGACACCACTTCAGCAACCCAGAGAAGGACGATGGCGGGCAATCCGTCATTTCAGCAGTATAACAAGGAGGGTGGCAGTGGGGAAGCCACAGCAGTTTTGCTATAGCAGCTAAGATGCAAACATCCGAGCCAACGTGCCGCTATTCATCCAGAGCTCTACCAGCAACCCTGAAGCAGAATCTTCAGTCAAGCTAAAGCTCCAGTTCCAACAATGGCAAGAGAAAGCTGTAATTACCTCTTCCCTTTTCTCACCAGGAGACGTTTCAATTGGAACCAGCTGTGGGATTTCTCCATCCTCCTGCTCCAATTCCGCCATGGCAGAGGGCTTTGCCACCTCCTCGCCTTGTGTTCCGGCAGCAGGGACACCACTGCCTTCCGCTTCCGCAGCGGTTTTGGTTTTACCTGGAGGGTTCTTCTTAGCCCTGTTTTTCTCTCTCTTTTTCTGCAGGCATTGAATAAACAAGCCCCTAAGCACCCCTTCGGAGCACTGTGATATTGCTATACTTTACTGCCCCATTCTCTGGGCAAGTATGTTATTAGCTGTACCTGACAAAGGTCAGGAAACATTGCAGATTTTTGCATTTGAAAAAACCACAAGGTACTCGTAGAATATGAAATGAAAGCAGGCTTAAGGCTAAGAAATAAGGCCCACCTGTTGAGAAAAAAGTAGCAAAGGGTGATAGGGCTGCTGACACAGATTTCAATCTAGTAAACACTAGTTTATGTTTATGATCCCTGTAAAGAACCTAAATAGCAAACCTGTGCTCAGCAGCCAAGCTAATAGGGGCCGCCTTGCAAAGATGTCCTGGGAGGTATGAGGGAAACGTATCAGTTCCGGGAGGCCTGCTGCAGCCAAGGTTCCCTCACCTAAGATGTGCGGATGCTTAGGCAGGAATTAAACCACCTGCGCCAGAGATAATATATAGTATATTGAAGGCAATTATGAAATACAGATGCAGAATATCAGCCAGCAAAAGAAGGCGTGTGTCCCTCTTTTGTGACCTCACTGGCTCACTGAGTAGCTGTGGATGCTTCATGGCCGTCCAAAGTCTTCTGGACGAGGGAGATGCCAATGCCTTTCTCCAGACCAAGAACAGAAGGACAACGTCTCTTCCTATGGACGTGATTAAGTTGTCCTTTCCCACCATTTCAGAGAATGTACACAGGTTCTAGCCCCAGCCTGCACCCCATGGGAAGCTGCTTCAGTAAGGCAAACAGTTTCATTCTCACAGCAAAAGCGGTGCTTCTCTATGAAATTCTGAGGAAAGTCATCGTCAAGGCCCTTGTCTCTGCTGCTCTCTCTAATAAGCCCAAGGCCTTAAGGTCTTGGCATGGCTTCAAGAACTAGGCTGGGGTTTGGACATTGGGAAAGTTCACTACACAAGCTGTGGAACCTTAGTATTTTTTTTAAATAAGTTTTATTTGAAATTATAATCCTAAAAAAACAAAAAGAAAGCTACAAACAACATCCATCATCAAAAACATCGAGCCCGCTAGGTCAGCCCCCACACCCTTCTTTTTCCATTTATGAAAACTTTAAAAACATATTTAAATCTATATGAAGTCCCATTTCTCTAGCCAATAATAAAAATTCCCTTAATAATTTTAACTATGCTTTTATGCTCAGTTTGTGGATCATTTATATTGTATTATTTGGGTATCTATGTATTTATGGTTTTTGAACTGTAAGCTGTCCTAAGACCCTTATTGGATGGGGTAAAAAATTACCCCAATAAATAAATAGCTAGCTCCCTGTCATTCTTCTGGCAGAGCCCATCTCCCAGTACTGCAAGTTATCTATCAAGAATGCATTTTTCCTTACCTGTTTGACTTTTGCACCTGTCTGTTCTTGCAAACACTCAGTATTAAGATCAGCAGAGGTAAAGATGGGAAGGGCAACCGATTTGTCTGTTTTGAGGTGAAAGATTTTTACACTTTTCCAAATCTGCACAGTAAAAATAAGAACAGAAGAAAATGTATATGGCATTTCCTGTTGGGTAACAGCACAGAGGAGCTGCCTTCACCCACCACCTGGGCAAACATCATTACCTGTGGAGCTTTGACGGCCATCACCTTTGCAGCCGCAACAACATTTTCCGCTATCTTGTGGGCTTCCATGCCGGTGTGGCCGATGCGTGCGGTGCTGAAAGAGAAATGCATGCAGGGCACACCCCGGCTCAACGGCCATCCTCTGGCAGCCTGTCAACTGCTCTGCCGCTCAGCATCACAGGAAGCCTGTTGATCAGACCAAAGGACCAAAAGGCCGAACACCTCCTTTCCCAAAGCTGCAAACCAGATGCTGTCAGCCCGAAAGAGGATGTGAGGGCAACAGGTTCTCCCCGCTCCCCCGGTCCCTGCTGACTGCTTTACAAGGCGTGTCCAACTGTGTTATCATAGCTCAAGGCCAGAAGCCCTACCAAAGCGCTATATTCAGTGCGAAATTGCTACTAATATACATCATATTTATTTATTTGATTTATATCCCTCCTTTAAAATAATTTCTTTAAGAACACAGACTGGCTTACCTCATTCTCCTCCTGCTGCTCTCAAACTTATCCCTGCAACAACAACCCTGTGAGGTAGGTTGGATGAGAGTCTGTGACTGGCCCAAAGCCACCCAGTTGGGTCCATGGTCAAGCAGGGACTAGAACCCGGATCGCCTGAGTCCCAGTCCAGCATTCTTAACTCCGAAACCACACTGGCTCTTACCCTGTGCTAGCATAAAGAGTCACTAATATTTCTTGGTACAAAGGATTATCCTGGAACCAAGGCAGAGATAAAAACAAATTAAGAGCTGGGACAGGCTCTAGAAGAAAGCAAAAGCACCATCTTCTTGAAAGCCATTGTGGCTCAGTGGTTACGGTGCTGGACTGGGACTTGGGAGAACCGGGTTCTAGTCTCCACTTGGGCAAGAAGCTCATCGGGTGATTTTGGGCCATTCGCTGGCTCACAGCAAAACTACCTCACAGGGTTCTTGGTGAGGATAAAATGGGAAAGAGGCCTGTGGAAACTTCCTGGAATTCCTTGGAGAAAAGAAGCAGGACGATAGGAACTATAACAAAATCCAGCTGATGTGCCTTCTGGGACCATCTCTTCCTCCTGGCTTTGTGTACTGAGGACAGGTGCGAAGCGAAGCGAAGCGCATGAACGTAGAGTGCAGGGAAGGACACTTACTAGCAACACCCCTTGTTGGTGACTGGAAGGATTGTTCCTTGAATGAGTCTGTTTATTTCCTTGGCCAGATCCTTGGCTTTCAAGTTCACTGACAGAGGAGCCCTGACATTAAAGGGAAAGACGAGTGTTCAGAAGAGAATGGTCGGCTTCCCGGAAGGAATGTGGTGGAAATGGAAGTGGACAGGTTGTGAAGGGTGCTTACTTTTTATTCTTATAGAAGTGCTTCCCCAAGTGTGACGGCAGAAGCCTTCGAACCCGGTCATCCGAGAGGAAGAGAGAAAAGCGCCCCAGGAGGCGACGCTTGGCTTCAAAAGGCTTGTATTCCTTTTTGAGTGTTTTGTAGGGGATGACCTTCAAGACAGAATAAGCATCATCACCCTTTAAGACAGTGTGGTACTGTCTCAGCTTGCTTTTTGGGGCAGCGGTGATATCTAACCTACTTTAAGAAAAATTCTAGTCAGTAGTTCAGCCACACCCCTCAAAATCTGGACACCAAACTTAGGTCTCAAGTCTTTTCTGGACCTAAAACAGTTTGTTACTCAACATTTTAAGGTTTGCCCATTTACAAACTGAAGGTCCTGTACTGCCATTAATTCCAGGTTGGTAGGCTCAGTTTTCCTTTATAAATGAAAGCATACATGCTTGTGCATAGCTCCTTGAAGGTATTTTACTGAATAGTTAAACAAAATCACACAGAACTGTTGAATATAAACCACCATGGATAAACCACTGATAGGAAACCGGTGGCCTGTGAGACAGAACTCGGCCAGTTAGTCCTTCTTTCACCAATGATTTCCTAAAAAAATTAAAACCTTACAGTCAAAGCTGAACTCTCTCGCAACTGACTTCAAGAAGGAGATTAACTCTTTTTCCTAGTTGAGGAGGAAGATTTGACGAAGGCTAGACGCCTTCCATACCTCAGTGATGTTTGTGATCCCATGCTGGGACAGGAGCTTCTTGTACATATTCTCTGTCTGTTCAGCCGTTAAACCAGGCTCATCCTTCGTGAAGAGGCAAACCTCAGATGTTTCAGGCAGGATACCATGGGGCAGTGCTCTAAAACAAAGCGAAAGACATTTCTAGAGAATGTCCAGGTAGCTTTTCTGGGGTGGAGGCTAACCTCAAGCAACTGCTGGAAGAACCAGTGCTGCTGCTTCAGCACATACCATCTGTGTTTGAAACTGTCCTCTAAGTCACCCTGTAAGTCACCTGTATAGGAGCACAGGCTTGGAGGGAAAAGGCAGAAAAATGGGGGGAAGGGGGTGAGGCCAGGGGAACATAGCGGGGCAGTGCCAGAGGGCCAGATGTGGCCCTTGCCACTGAGGTTATGCACCTCTGCTTAATCCAGGACTCTCTGAATGGTGCCTGAAAACCATTTGCTGCACGATAGTCCTAAATATCTGCAAGCCTCCCAGAGTGTTCACAGCAAGCACCCGAAAAATGTGTGTTTACAGTGCATAATTGTTTTGCATTTTACTGAGAACACCGTTGAAGCTAAATACATGGCAGCTGGAAAACAAACTAATGTATCTCATCATCGACAGCCTTACATTTTGATGACTTGCTCACGTGGAGGGATCTTCCAGACGGTGATCATCAAAAACATGTTCCGGTCCTCGTTCAACAGCAGTTTCTCAGCGGTTTTTTGCTTTTTTGCATTGTATGCAAGCAGTGCTTGGGCTGCCTTTTTAATCTGAAAAAGCAAACGGGAAAGTAAGATTATTCTTGTGACCAGCTTTTTAGATCTCCCACAACTTCAGAGCTTTTTGGGTTAACAATAACTTTGGGAGCTAAGTTGGGTTGAGAAAGAAGTCATTAGGCCAAAGCACAGTCAAAGCACCAGCAGAAGTTTTAAACGCTGATTTCCCACAGCAGAGCCCAACATAAGTGACCAGCTTCAAAATTTAAATCTCCACATCCCGAGAGAGATGCAGTATCAGGTTGCCTTTTTAATCTGAAAAAGCAAACGGGAAAGTAAGATTATTCTTGTGACCAGCTTTTTAGCTCTCCCCCAACTTCAGAGCTTTTTGGGTTAACAATAACTTTGGGAGCTAAGTTGGGTTGAGAAAGAAGTCATTAGGCCAAAGCACAGTCAAAGCACCAGCAGAAGTTTTGAACGCTGATTTCCCCCAGCAGAGCCCAACATAAGTGACCAGCTTCAAAATTTAAATCTCCACATCCCGAGAGAGATGCAGTATCAGGTATGCCAAGAGGCCAATGCCAACAATCCTTCCACTTTTTTAAAAGTTCAGCTAAGGCTGCAATTTCACACCTTCCAACACTTCCTGGACAACAATAAGGCCATCCATTCATGGGTACTGGTCTCACCAGGGATTCACTCCTCTTCACTATTACGATACAATCTCCAGTGTTGCACACACTGGTACACACTGCACTGGTGCTCATTGCCCCATCACCCCCACTGCAAGCAGGAGTGGCCAAACAACCCAGGAATGCTCCAGCCATGGGTTGTTTAGTGTGGTGACCAGCTCATGTGTCTCGAGCAGTGAGCAGCGCTAGACTCCCAGGAATGCAATGACGGTATGTTTTTATTAGTAAAGGCACCACTTGCATTAGCTGCTCTGCAATTCTTTCAGCAGTTCCCTGCAGTGATGCAGTGTTTTTGGGTGGCAACATGCCAGGAAAATAACCCTAGAACAAACCACAGGTTCTCCACTGGCATGGAAGATTTAGCGTATACACATTTGCCCTTTTAAAATCTTTTTTTATCAGCCTCAGGTCTTTCACTACCTCCTGCCACCCTTGGAACAAGGCCAAACTGCATGCTGATGAATATTTTAAAAAGTTTTCCTCTGAAACAAGATAGGACCAATGAGTTGTGATGAATGTATACCGGGATTGCTTCTAGTCACCAGCCTCTTCCCGCTCAAGAAGCTTAAATTGGCACGGGTTATTCTCTCCTCCCTGTTTTATATCCCCACAACAACCTTGTGAAGTAGACCCCGCCCGAGAGCACCCAGTGCACGTCACGGCTGAATGAAAATTCGACCCCTGGCTTCCTCGCCTTACTCGGATGCTCCAAATACTACACAGCCGGTGCTCTCTCTCTAAAACCAAAGCACAATATCCCCGAAGCGCTTTCACCCCAGCGAGTGCCAGGCAAAACACGAAAGCCACAGAAAGCCAAACGGTCCATTCGCGAACAACGAACAGGCGCCGCCGCGGCCCGGACGGAGAAGAGGAAGCCCCCGCTCATCCCCTGATTCGGGAGCTGGAGATGCACCCCCTCCCTAAGGCAGCGCCCCATCCATCGCTGCCTTGCCTGCTCATAATCCAGAGGAAGCTCCATCGCAGCGGGATCCACGCTTCTCCTCCACGTGGAGCCGGGGGCGTCGCACTTTGGCGACGTCATCGGAAGCGGGTCTCCGTCTCAGGCACGAAGGCGGAAAAGGGCCATAGAGATAGAAAATGCAGAAGGGCATCCGGTAAACAACTCCATTTTTCGTCAGTCTCTATGGTGAAAGTGGCCGGGTATAAAGTAGGGAACCATAGACTTATAATTCTTAGAACTGGCTCATGGAGTTGGCTTCCGAGGTTATTTTGGGCATCCTGGTTGGTCTCCTGCGGGGCGAAGGAGCGAGCAGAAGCCCTTAGAAAACAACGGAGAAATTAGGAATTTTGCAGCACTGTCCTCTGCCAGGTCTACCCACTGAGCTCAGTGGGGCTTCTTCCAAGGGGTACGACATTGCAGCCCTAAGTGCAGTCTTAGGCACGTGCAACTGGGCAGTAACTCCTACGGAACTTAATCCTATGGGAGTGAGTGCGGGGTTGCAGCCTTAGTTCACTTGTGATCAGGCGAAGAAATGCTTCTCCCACTCCTCCAAGGATGCGTTATTATTGCTGATAACATTACTGCTATTCTGATCACCTTTTAATTTCAACACGCAATGTATTCGCATCCCTTCACCCACTCCGAAAGTTTCATTCCCGGGATCAAGGCAGCCTCTTCAATGTTATTAACCCCAGAAAGGAAAGATCAGCATTTCTACCCCGCAAAGGACAAGGACATTTCTGCAGAACAGTCCTAAGAGTGCAGCCCAGAATCTAAGTCTCTGGTTGGAGAAAAGCAACCAGTGCTGGCCGGGTCCGTGGAACAAGGCAAGAAAAATACTTGTACTGATCCTGGTCTAGCTTTCCAGTTTGAATTATTATATGGAGCTGCCTAGCAGGGCAGGGGAAGTGTAACACCCTTCAGGGCTCGGGGCCAGGGCTCTTGAAGGATCATCTGCCTCCATGTTAGATAAAATGCAGTCTAGCAGTTATCACTATAGCTATATGCTATGTTATGCAACACGTAAATGACCAGGTAGGCTGACTTAGGCTGCTTGTGTTGGGAAAATTCAGGTAAATCCTGGTAGAAGAGGGTTGCTTAGGTGCTTTTGTGTTATACAAATGCCTTCACTCCTTTCTCAGGAAGCACGCAAAATTCCGAGCCAGGTTACTGTTTAGAATGTGCTGTTACTTGAAGAAGTGACTTCCCCAAGAAGCTGCCAGGGCTATTGTTTTGCTGAAGAAGTGGCAAGGCTGCCAGGTTAACAGCATTGCAATGACCCTCATTTGCATGCCAAGACACACAGTAATCCCAGTGCCTCAGTGATCGTTATGTTAATCTCCTGCAATCAAATGCCATTATACTGGGCCCCCTCTGCAAACTTCTCATCTGACTGAGATCGCCTTAGTTTGTTACCAAGTGCCCAGCTGCTGGGCCCATGTGACTCAGAATCTATAAAACACTCTGCGTATGTTCTAAATGCTTGTCCTAGGTGGTGGAGACCACTACCCAGTACCATGCTGTCGTAAGTAGCTGCAGGGGGCCTGGGTGATCCCACCAGTACAAACGAGGCCATTCAGTCTTCCCTGCGGGTCCTGGTGATTCATTAGTAAAGAGATTCTGACACTTGCTGGCCCTATAAGAAAACCTGGCCACTTAACTGCTTTGGGTAGGTTCACAATTAGAGGGTGTTAACTGGAGCTGCTAGCCAGGGTATAAAAGTCTTGCGCTGTCCAACAAAGGCGTGAAGGCCTCTTTGTTTTCTCCCTTCCGCTGAAGCCTGCTAATAAAAGCGAATTTTGAGCCTGCATTGTGTCTTCGTTTCCCTCTTGAAGTGACAGGTTGGCACAAGTCCTCTGGGGAGACAAATTATAGGGTGTAATCTGCACAACATCCAGACACACTTGACCGCACCTAAAGATGGCCTGAACCCAGGAAGCTTTGCAAGCAAGGTGTGGTCAACGGCTGCTGGACCCCAAAGGCACAAGGCCACCTGCAGGCATCACAGAAGGACTCCGGCTGGCCGTTCGCAAGCACTTCCTGAGCTGGGCTTCCTCAGTAGCGAGTACAGCCACATTTTGGGCCAGTGTGTCTTCCCGCAGGCAAGATGAACAAGCAGAGTTCGGCCGCAGAGAGAGTAGGCATAGCACAGAGCCAAGAGCTGGCAAATTCTTGGGGCCTCTTCTGGGACCTACCGTCTCAAATGCCCACAAACTGGTTCTGTTGCGGCATTGCTTAGATTGCTGCTTTGTGCCGATCGACCTCTGCCAGGAGTTTAATTTGCATGCAGGAAGGTTAAGTGTATTTCAAAAAGGGGCAGCACCTACGTATGAACGGACACTTTCCCCCAGGGCTGGTGTCACAGGTGTGCACGTGCTCCTCCATGGGAACCGGCTTGCTCACTTGTCCCTGTGTGGAGCCAGAGAAGAGTTGCGGTGAAAAGGACCAGCAGATGTCACTGGCTTTGAGCAGGTGGAAGGGTTCAGGAGCGTTGGCAGCTGGAGACAATGATGGAGAGACAAGAAGCCACTTAAGATGTTTATGGATCACAACGATCAAACCTATTCTAATGTCGCCATCACAAGCACCATGGAGCTGCATTAGGAAGGGCATAGTGCCCAACCTTAACCATCCAAGAGTTGTTCTCCGTTCCTGGTCACCAAGGATGAGATGCCTCTTCTCTGAGGATACCTGCTGCAACATATAAAACACAGTTCTGTATTTCCACCCCACCTCCTCTCAAAGCTTTAATTTCTATCATATGCATATTTAAAATAAATGAACAGTTTGAGAAAGCAACTTTTTTTAAAAAATGAGGCAATAACCTTGCAAAGGTGTAGCAGCAATCTAGGATTGGCACTCCGTTTTAAACCAACCAACCCTTGTGCCAGGTTAATTTCTTGGAGGTTTGGGTTTGCTTTTCCAATTGGTGCTTTTTCAACTGACAGAACAGGCAATGTGTGCTGTGCATTGAAGATTTGCATATAATCACTACATGTTTCCAAAAAACACTCCTGAGTCCCTTACAAACAGCCTAGCTAGAAATTAATTTTAAGTCGTATCTTTTAACTGAGTGCACCTCTTTTCATGTTCCAAGCACATGCCTTTTTTCAGAAGATTGTTTTTCTACCAAACACAACAGCAAACAAGATTTAACAATCATTTGGGGGGAAATAATTGCAACACAACTGCTAACTCCTCTTTTTTTAAGTCTGGGACACTTGTCATATTTTGTTCAGGAGCTGAATCTATAGGGTTTGTCCATCTCTGAGAAGAAACCACAAATAGGAAGACGGGTAGGAAAAGCCAGATGCTGAAGGAGGAGTGGCCCAAAGTATATGAAGAAAGGAATAATCAGAAAATGCAAAAGAATCTAATGGAATACAAAGTCTTACAAAGCAAATGTGTGGAGCACTAAAACATTTAATCCTGTAAATCAAGATTGCAAAAAAAAAAAAAAGTGTGGGGGGAGGCATTGTTGAAAATGAACAAAACACAAAACATTGAAGGGCAAAGTGTCCACAAATAAAACTTACAAATTATTTTGCATATAATTGGCACAATTGTGCTTCAGCACGGTTTAGCAAGAGATTGCATTCTATTGGATTCTCTTCATTTTCTAATTATCCCAGTCATTCTGCAATAGGTAGCCCATCTTGGAGAAGGAATTTGGTGCCTCCAGCATTCACTACATGCCTTCAGATTCACTAGCTTTTTTACCATTGTGGTGGCCTGATTCTTGAGGGATGCGGCCCAACCCCACAGTTCCTCATGAGCTTGGATGCTCACCAGATGGTTTGTGCCAGTGAGGGGTTCTCCATTCAATGGATAAGGTAACATGGATGTCTGAAGTTACCTCCTCTACCACTGAAGGAACTGAAGAAGGTACCGTGCAAGATGGGTGATAAGGAGGCACTCAAGATCAAGCGCAATGTCTTCAAGGAGAACTGATTCTTATTTCATCCACAAGAAGAGACCTATAACCACAATGGGACCTGACAACATAGGGGTATAAGCAACTCCTTAGTTTGGCTTAGTATTCCACAAAATACAGTAAGTGATCCTGCAGGTTGATTTACACGGTGGTTGCAGAGGCCCAGCGCAGCTCCCAATCATGTACATGTAGAGTTCAGATGGGCACCTCTGAACTGAGGCTATGCATATAGTGATAATACAAATTCACAAACCACAATCCTCATTTCTCAGAAATAAAATCTCTTCCAGTTCCATTGGATTTACTGTGGGACGGTAGCATTCAAGCATTCCATCTTTAACTGAATTCTGCAAGTGGATGTACTTGTATATAAATGCAAATAAATAATAATAATTAATAAATACTTGGTGTGGCATTCATTCACTTTTAACAAAACAAAACAAAATCTTGGATTCCGTGCCTAATGTGCCGATTTTGGCAGATACTTTTCTGAAGTTCTGCAATTCCTCAGAGTCACATCTGCCCAAGTGGCAAAGATTCCATTCAACTACTGGTAGCATCTTTAAGTCCTTTCGCTCCAAGGACTTCTATCAAGATGAAAATAAGCTTCCATTGATTGCTTTTTAAAATGTCATTCAGCTGTGATCAGCCCAGTGATTAGAGGAGGATTTTGGAAGGCATAAAAACACACAAATTGATCCCTGAAATGATGAACCCACTGGAAATTACCTTCAGTATAGTTTATGATAAAACACCTGAAGTCATTAACATGGTTTAAAAAGGTACTTAAAGTTTTCAGATTGCCAGAAAAATAAACTTCCAGAAATTTGCAGACATAATAAAATTTATTTAAATTTTTCATGCATTACGGTAGCTACAAGTGTAGTCATATGAAACTGAAGGACAATAAACTTTGCTTCGTCCATACAATGTAGCCTTACATGAAATGGATGCGAGTTCCACAGATACAAAGAAACAAAAAAGAAAAGGGCCAGATGTTTTCAAATTTAGAATGGTGTGACGTGAGACTGTCACAGGACTGTAGACTTTGCGGGGCAAAGGGCACATTACGCGCTCGAACATACAATTGCAAAGGATTCAATTGGAGAAGCATTTTAAACAATCTCTTAAATCAGCCTTCTCTACCAACCCAGTAAGAAAATTGCTCTGGAGTATCGTCACAGCTCCCTTTCGACTGTCTCCCTCCTTTCCATAGCAACAACACACCTCTCACACTTTAGCCTACAAGCCAAGCGTGTGTTGGCGGCCTTGTCCTTGCTCTGCCAACCTAAAGTCCCGTTATTCACTTCTGATTTCCTCTAGCTTAAATAGCTCTGATATGCAGCAATCTATAACCTGTGCTTGATTCTATGCTCAATTTTAATGCGCAAACCTTTATGATTAAAGAGAAGTACTTGTCAAGGGGCCAACCTCTTGCTGCTGGCGGTGGGCACTGGCCACTGGCCACTCGCCCGCAGCCTATTTGGCTCCATTCAAATTTCTCTGTCTCTCAACCCCCGCCCACCTGCAAAATTTACCAGTCTTCCGAGTTAGACAGAACGAACTGAGGACGTTTGTTTTTAATCATAAACTGATACTTGAGCTCAGTTTTCAGACTGATCGTTGCGTACCAGTGTTATTGCCAGAGTTGTCATGTAACAGTCCTACTAATTTTATAGGCTAGTGTTTTCTGCCAGGAAGAATTGATGATGTACTCCAAGACACAGTAGGAAGATCCAGATTGCCCCGTGCCTAAACAATTATATTAAGTTGATTTTGCATATATATATTATTTATATATATATATACACGCGCGCGCACACAAAGTCAACATAATTGTTTAGGCATACATATATAAAATGATGCAACACTAATTAAATAGTACCATACTTGCATGAACATATTTAAGATCTTTTTTTTTTTTAAACCACCAGAAGGAAAGGGCAAAAGAAAGTTTCTTTAGTACAAATTTTGTCAATTGTCTAATTGCTTCATTTAAAACTTGGTCGGGGAGTTGGCAAAGGGAAGAGTTTGGTTTTAGAAAACCCTAAGTAATTGAATATTCAGATTACTTGGCAAGTTAAAAGCTAATGCAACAGATGTTATATCTGGATAAAAACATTATTCAAAAGCAATTAAGATACCAAAAAAGATTTCAAATTGAATAGTTTATTAACATGGTAATTGTCTTTGTAACATGTGCACGCACACTCGCTCGCACACTCCGAATGATCTGCCTTGAAAAATGTTTCAATATGCTGGGGGAAGGGGGAATTAAACAGAAATCCTATAGATTTTTCATAATTCTAGGCAATTGTGTCCACATCACTTACAAAGCTATTGCCAAATCTTTCCAAGGAAGCAGAATTTAGGAGGAGGGGAAAAAAACTTGGGGAGAAATTCAACAGTGGCATAGCAGAGCTCTCAATATGAGAAAGCTGACAGAATGTGGACCTTTGCTGTGGAATTTCATCTTTGCAAAATATAGGGAGGTTATCAAGGGGAAGAAAATAAGAAGGCGATGTGAAGTAGGCTTTTGCAGAGTCCTTTTTTTTTTAATCCTCACAGTATTTGTGCAGGCTTATCAAAAACAAGGCTTAGTCCTTCTCTGGAACCAACTTCAGAACTTTTCCAATTGCAATGGTCTTACCTATGTGAGAGAAAGAAACAGCCATTAGGAAAGAAGGTCACAGTCCCCTTAGGAGTTTGCTGATGCAAACATCAAAGAACTACGTTTTCATAGTGTGTTATTCTCATGCTTTCATTCTTGTATGTTTTAGGAATGTCACACTTGCTTTTATGACTGTAAAACCAAGGGCGTTTGCCACATCTAATAAACAAGCTCAACTTCGTTCCAGGTCCTTGTTTTTGTGGAGTGTTTTAATGCTCTTGTGGACTGCTTCCTTAACACACTGGGGAACACCATAAGACTTGTCGGTTTTTGTATTAGAGGGTCTGCTGTGCTCGAACCAGCGATGTGAGGAGGGAATTTTCCCACAAAATTTTCTCGTACTTAATTGTTCCTGCAAAAAAATGTGTCCATTTCACAAGTTCATTAATAAATATAAATGTTAGCTAACTGCAAATACAGTATTAGGCAAGCTTGACAGTTTCAAAGTTGTTTCAGGTAATTATATTTAGCAATTATGTGGGAGAGTAACACGATTACAGTGAATATCTTATATGTGCCAGAGTGAAAGAGAACTAAGAGTGACAGTGAATCAAAGAGTGTTCCAGCAAGCTCAGTGGAACAAGAGCTGAAAATAAACTTTTACAAGAATTCCAAGTGTCTACTACACAATTTAACATTTAAATCTTATTCACTGTGCTTTAACTTTTCCCCATTCAAGTATTTTCAGTCAAATATGAAGATGTGTTGGGACAGTCATTTTGTCCCCTGAACAGAACATGACCAACAGTTCTCTCTAGGGGAGGGGTGGACAACCTGCAGCCCCCTGGAGGGTCTGACCTGTGGCACTCATCAGCTCTAGCTAGTAGGGCTAGTGGGGAATGATCACAGGAGGCATGGCCTCTGCAGACTTTGACCTACAAGCGGCCCACCCCTGCCTCCGGGGAACTTACAAGGGCATGCAGATTTCTTTCCGACAAACTACCCTAATTTGCATTTAAAAAATTCTTACTCAGTTTTTTTCAGGAACTAGAGCTGCAGCTGATTTGCTCTCTACAATTTCTCCTGTAGCAATAATGATGTTTGTGGAATGCTTTCTAAACATTCCATGAATTCCAGTGGTACCTGACAGCTGACATGTGGTGGTATGGAGGATCAGACACATCAGTCTGAAACTGTGTATTTGATGACTCTGAGAAGCAAAATCAGCACATCTAATATGCTAAAGCACTGAAATTTAGGCTGGCATTCAACTATAAAGGAAAAGCAAATACCAAACTAGAAAACATTGCAACTGCCCCATGTCTGGGAACCTTTCAGCTTCCTGGTTCACTTCAGACATCCTTCCAGACACGGATGGGCATCTGCGGGAGATCTGGGGCCATTTTCACAGTGGTGAAGTAGGCAGGGGCCAGATGTGGGGAGGGGGGCTGGCAGGGAAGAAGCCACGGGGCCAGTAAGGCTCCCCTCACCATTTAGCACAAACCACCCAACCCGGGATCACATGAAAACTGCAGCTCAGCGGGCAGTCCTGCGCAACCGGAGACGAGGATGGAATGCTGACTTACAGCTCCACGTGGCCTTCACAGCCACTGCACACTTACAAGACCCAGAACACCGTTCCCTTTAAGCCTATACAAGACTTAAGTCACACTGTGCTTTAGAACATCCAGCAGCCGACCCTTGCCCAGTGCTTAGGGCTGCTTTCGGAAGGAGGGGCGAAGCCAGATGTGTAGGATGTGTCCACCCCCAACTGCTGGAGGTGCCAACACACCCGCATTTTATAGTTTAAAGCAAACAGCCTGCTGACTCCCAGTGCGTATCAGCAGCAGGGTGGAGAGGCAAAGAAGCCCGATTTTATGGAGAGTCGCCTTCAACTGGCTCAGGGCCCAAGAGTGCATCCTCACTGCAGCAGAGAGTTTGGTTTATCATGTGGCAATTACAGCAGCTGTGTGATAATCAAGGGCCCCTTCCAAAGCTCCCTTTGCAAAAGAGCCCCTTCCCTGAACGAGGAAGGTAATGTCAGAAGCCCTGGCTGACGTGGGAGAAGATTGAAGCAGTTTTCTCCTGGAACCTGATGACTGGCATGGGAAGGTGTTCCATTGTGGGCCCCTCTTCCTTCACCTGGGGCTTCTGACACAAACTTTGTGGCACTGAAAGTCACTGCGAGGAGAACTGGGGAAGTGGGGTCCAGTGGTCTACAGAAATGACGGTGCTCCCCACGGAGAGCAGGTGTGGCCCTGTCCCTCCTCCTCAAGCGAATGCCCTCCAGTGGGAGAAAGCCTGAGAGGACCCTTTTGGCATCTTTTTCAGAGCAAACCGAAATGGTGCAACAGAGGCCCAGCTCAACTCCTCCACAGCAATTCAGAAGACCAAGTATTAAATGAAGGGAATTTGTGCAATGTCGACTGGACGAGGTCTGTGTCCTCATACCATGGTTTTGCATCCTCATATTCTAATATTCGGTTTGATGAAGAGTTTGGGGGAACTTGGAAAATTTCTTACTATTTTGTGATATTGTGGTAAGTCTCTAATAAAAGTATTGCCTGCTGATTTTTAATTTTTCAAAGTTTAGTCCTCATGGACTAAAACAGCATCCTCCATTTTCTGAGTGGCAACACTTTGTCCCTTCCCTCTGAACAAAAGCCTGGCTCTCTTGCATTTAAGAGTCATTGGATAACCTGTCAAGAGATGGTGAGCAAGCAGCTAGTTCTCAGGAGCCTTCTAATTCCACAGTTCTGTAAAGGGTTTGCAATGAGTCTTTCTTGGGGGACTTGATGCAAGAATAAATACACGCATTTGGAATGCAATATGCAAGAGGCAATCTCTCAAATGCACTTACCCTCATCTCTTAAGGTGAAACGACCCATTTGAGGGAAGTCTTTGAATGTCTCAAGGCAGATGGTTCCTGCCGTCCTTAAACGAGCAATGCAAACTTGATCTTGTTTGACAAAACGGGGCCGTGTTTTGCTTTTCTCTCCTGATTTTTTGTCTACCAGACAAATTAAGGCCTTCAGAAAGAAGAGAATAATGATAAAATACTGTTTGGGTGACCAATACCTTCCCTAACAGAATACCTTTGAGCCTTTAATGATGAGAAGGAAGAATTTGCCTTGTGTTAAAGAAGAAAAGCTGAAAGTGCTGATATTTGTTTTTTGATTCACTCAAATAAGCAACCTAACTAAAATACAGGAATGAGAAATTCACTTTTCATTCACAAGTCGTTTTAGCCTGTGTTTTGTTCCACTCATACAAAGCTTTCAGTATTCTAGCTGATAAAATACTTTTTCATAATTTCAGGAGCAAATTAATGCAACTGGATATTCAAGTCAAGAAGAAACTTTAATATTAAATCACCTTGACTCAATAGGCAATTCCAGAAACACTAAATCTATGCACCTGTTTGCATGCTGCCATCAATTTAGTGACAAACTATCAATTAGCTAATGATTTGCAAGGCTGGGCTTTGCATGGGAGCCATCCCTGTAAAAGAATTCTAAGTTCTCCATTTGCAAGCTATTAGTATAACATCTGAACTTAGATACTTTGGGTTATTTGCAAGGTAAACAACCCAGTATGTCCAGAGCTCACTGCAGGTTGCTCTTTAGAAGTAGAACTGATACGTGTGAATCTCTCCCACTAGGACACACCGTCCCATGGATTGTTTAAATCATGCTTTGTTGTTCCATGTGAACTGTGTCTTTGAGTTATTAACAAAGATAGTTAAGCTCCGAGCAAACCATGGATTAACTGTAGCTTGTTTAACCCACCGATTTCCCAGGTTCACGCATCACGTGAGCAACCTACAAAGAAGCTCACTGTAGGCTGCGGTTGGACAGCGGAATCAGAAGGTGCACGGGAGGCAATGCACTTGTTTTAAGCTCATGTGCAATAACCAATTGACAGTTTATGTATGAACCCATTTATGTATGACATGTCTAACAGTCCTGGTGATTCTATGACACAACACCAAGCAACACACTAGCAAAAGGGGCCACCTGTCCAGTCAGAGGGTGCTGCAACTGGACAGTCCCTTGTTCCCAGGAGTACACAGAATGACAAGCCAGGTTCCTAATACTCACTGTGATCTCAACTTCTTCAATACAGGTGTGAATATGCAGCACCGCATTGTAGCCGGGGCAGATGATAGATTTGTGCTCAATTATCACTATCTGCAATCAATAAGAATGTAATAAGAGTGTATTCATTGCAAGGAAAGCCATTAGCAATTTCCTTTCTTCTTCCTGAAAGAAGGAAGTTCTTCAGTACAAACATGCCAGTGTGGAATGAGGGCTGGCGTGGCAGTCGGAGCGCTGTGCTGGGGATCCAGGTTCTAGTTCCCCCCAGCCATGAAGTTCGTTGGGTGAGTGTGGGCCAACCAGACTCTCTGCCCCACCTACCTCCTCACAGGGTTGCTGCTGTGAGGACAAAATGGAACTATGTCAGTCACCTTGGGTCCTCACAGAAGGAAAACTGGTGGGATATAAATGTAATGGTAATCATTTCTTGCAAGGCAGGCTATGAAGGCGATGCAACAACAATAAAACGGATTGATTAACTGATCTGTAAGAAATGGGACCTTCCTAAATAAGGCAATGGTTTCAAATTTGGTATTGGCCAGAGCAAGACTTTATTTGACCCAATATGGAACGGAGGACACAGTTTCCTGGCCAAGGTTTAATTGTTATCAAAACCTTAAGGTGTGCATCTCTGAACTAAGTCGCATCAGCTGAAAGGTATAAACCAACTCAATATCAGTGTCATCTTTGAATATCCATTGCCTCTGTGACAAGCATACCTGAGCGTCAAAAGTGCGTCCTGAATGACACAGATTATTAAGATCGCAGAGGATAAACCCTGGGAGGATCTCCTCCTCTTCGATTCCTTTCAGCCGGATCTTCAGATTTTCACCTGGAGCGACGGATTCCGTTTCAACATCATCAGAGAGGATCCCAAGGACTTCCACATTGTGCTTAAAAATAAGAGGAGGATTTTCTAAGAGATGGAATGTTCACTCACTGTGTGTGCTGAACAAAACCTGACATTCATATATCCACAACAATGGCTGTCATAAAAGGCACTCTGTATACTGAAGTCTTCCAGTTCAGCTCTCTCATCTTGGAACATTTGGATATATGGTAAGGCAGCTACATTTCCATCTTTCAGTGGTGTTCATTTATTAAAATTTCAAAAAAAGAATTCAGTGTCATACAACTGTGGATGTAAGCATGTTTCCTGCACTGTGCAGCCAATCCCCTTAAGAAAAAGTTTGCTGGATCTACAAGGAATCATATGTTTTACGTTTTGTTTTTATAACAGCATTTTCTTTTTTGCTCTATGATTCCATGTTTCATAATTTAAGAATCCTGCTATCAAATTTAAGCATTTCCTTTCGAGAAACCACAAGCTATCAAGACGTATGCAAATTATCACACAAACTTTCTTCAGAAGACATTGTTTGCTCAACAATCAGGATGTTACTGAAAAGTCCTACTGATGGACTTAGTTACCAAATTAATCTATTAAATCAGAAGCAGAACTACTCTCAGCTTTTCTCCCATACATTCATTTATTGATTTTGTCCTTTGAGAAGTGAGTATAGAAGTAGAGGAAAACACTCTAATTGCTGCTCAACACATACAGTATGTATATTTTGAATAGTAAAGAAAGAAGAAAGAGTCCCTTATTCAGTCTTTGAAGACTGCTACCTGGAAATGATGTTAAGGAGCAAAAACTTAAAAAGCTGGTTATTTATGCCTTCTGTTACTTGACCACATCTACTAAAAACTAAAATTAACACTAAAATTAACACAAAACCCAGATAGGGTTGTGAAACAAGGTAACTTGTTTGTGGGTAAAACTTCAGAGACACTTTGTTTTGATAGGGAAGCTTTAGAGTATTTTGATCCCTTTTTAAACTAAAGAAACATGCAACACAGATCAAATTGGGTTTTAAAAGTTTTGTTTTGTTATGACACATGCAGAGTTTAGCATAACAAGGTATGGATTTTAAACAGTTAAGTGACAACCGAGCCTTGATTTTCTGGAACATTTTTAGGAGGGGAAGTGATTGTGGAATTTTCTGCTTTAAGACAAGAGGAATTCAGAGGTTTTGATGACTCATTCTGTGCCCTCTGTAAACAGCCCCTTTAAAGTGGAAACTCTGAAGTATATCAAATTATCCAACACATATTTTGGAGCCGAAATTCAATAAGCATACAAAATAAAGGTTAGAACTCGAGGAGCTCAAGAACTAGCCAACCCAGGTACCAAGATAGCATGTTCCTTTTTAAACCCTCCAGGGGCCACACAAGCTCAGCTCCGCATATTGTGTATCACAGGCACAAGCCATGGCCTGCGCTCCACGTTTCCTCCTCTTTTTCTTTCACAGGTTCAAGCTCACGGTTTAAGCTTTGAGGGCCAGTGCAGGCATCACTTGCCCGGCTCAGTGTGGTGCTTGTCTAGAGCAGCCCCACATCTATGGAGCGTTCATAAAAAGGCTCGCTGTGCTGCAGGCACCCAGAAAGGAGTGGCTGCTTGGAGCTGCGGTGAGGCCAAGTCCCAGGGCTAGCTCGTTTCCAGATGGCGGAGGAAGCGCTGAGGGGCCTGAAGCACTGGGTGAGGCGCAGGGATGCACTGAAACGGGGGGTGCAGTGCCAAAGGGAAGATACAGACTGTGGGAGCAGGCGCACAGTCGGGAAGAGATGGCACCAAGGGGGCAGGAATAAAGAGCCAGGAATGGGGGCTGCAGGCACCCTGCAAGCTATCCGGTGGCGAAAGCTGCTGGGCAAGGCATTTTAGCAGGCTGGCAGAGGTGTGCGTTAAGCGGCCAAGTCCAAACCAAGTCAGCCTTCAGCAAAGTGCCCCCGCATACACAAGACAGCTCCTTCACCTTCCACACCATTCAAGTTCCTGTTCTCCCTATGTCACAATCGAAGCTTGAGTTTTGGTTAGTATTACCGGAGCCAGAGAGTGCTACTGAACTTGTGAAATGCTTGTGGGTTTCCTTTGGGCATCTGTCTGGCCACTGGGAGAGCAGAATGTCAGACAGATGGTGGCTGGTGCAATCCAGCACGGCTTATGGGCTCCAGAAACCAGAATCCATCTCCTTACTGAACACCGGTGGGATCAAGCTGTGGAACCCAGGGACCTCAAACATGAAAGGGCAGGCTGGGTCTCAAAAGCTGTCATTACGTTCCTAGAGAAGAAGCAATCCAGGCGCAAGGTGTTGGGGGAGGGGGAAGGTAAGGCTGCCCCTCTCAAGGGACTGGTGTTCAACAGGCAATGGGGTAGCTTCTCTGCCCCCAAAAACACCCGTTTACTTTCTCTCATTAAATCAATGGTCATCCAGTCTTTTGGGAAGAAGAAAAATCTAAGACTCTGGATGTAGGGACAGAATTGCCTGGAAGTGAAACCTGCCTGCCCCCGCTGTACTGGGACCGATCCCCCACCCCAGTCACGACTGGCACCTTGTTAGCTGCTCGTAAATGGCAGCAACACCAGTCTCAAGAGCTCTTCCAACTAAGAGCAGGCCAATCATGTGCATCCTTCTTAGTCCCTAGGCATTCTAAGCCTAGCTGGGAGTAGAAAGCCTCGTAGGGGAATGCCCATTTCTACCCCAAGCATCATTTCGTAGGCTTAACCCTAGGAAGGCAAGCTTCGTAAGAGGAAAGTGGGCCATACCTTGTTTGGCATCATCACAAGCTGCTGTCCTTTGCAGATAGAGCCTGATTCCAGCTTTCCCAGAACCACCGTACCCATATCCTTCAGATGGGAAAGAAAAACATACACAGGTGAAAAGGCATCCTGTTATATAGGCTGCCATATTTTGCATGAGTCTGTGTGGCCATGCCAAATTATTCCAGATCAAAACAGGAAGCAACTTTGGTCTGAGATATATGCATTCTACCCCAAAGTGCGGGACTGGAACAGGGAGACACAGGTTTCAGTCTCCATTCAGCTGTGAAGCTCATGGGATGACTTTGGGCCACTCACTGACTCTCAGCCTACCTACCTCCCAGGACTGTTGTGAGGATAAAATAGAGAGGGGGAAGATCACGGATGCCATCTTGGGATCTTTGGAGGAAAGGGTGGGATAAAAAGAAAGCAACATGTGCCCCTATTCAAAACGTTGTGTAAACAGCCCCTCAACACCATCATCAATGCACATGTCGGGTGGCCAGGCGGGCATTCAAAGAGGAATGCTTGTGGGCAGGCTGGCTGGACCTCCGCCGTGAAGCTCCCCACCTTACCAACACGGGCCAAATGCAACCATTTTTCAGAAGCACTGGGGCCTACATGGCAAGCTCAGCCACTGGCCTATCTGTAGGCTAGGCTTCTATTTTTAAATTCTGTTGGGCAATCTGGGACTGGCATTTCACAATGCCGCATTTCAGCTGGCGCTGGCGGCGGGCAAAGTGGGCCTCTTTTTGGCTCGGCACTTTGGGACAGGGCAAGGGGACAGGGCAAGGTACAGGTGCGGACTACAGCTGAGCCAGCAGCAGAAATCACTGGGTGGAGTTTGAGTTTTAGACTAACAAGCGGCAAGTCCACTGTGATGAGGGTACCGAAATGAAAGGATTCCATCTGTCCTTCAAGGAAGGCTCCTTTGGGGAAACAGGTGTGATCCTCTGGATCTAACCAAAGGTGCAACAAACCCTGAGCAGAGATACTGCCAGATCTCAGGGCACTTTGCCAAGGCTAGGCTTGTTTCTCTTCCATTCAAATGATTTTATCTAATTCTCTATCACATTCAAAGGAAGAGGAATTTGACTGTATCAAGTTGCAGGAATTTTCCTGCATCTCAGTTTTTTGACTTTTACAAAAATATGCCTAGTGCTGTGAAGCTACATCTAAGGAATCTGTGCACCAGTTTGTATTCCGTCTAAAATTTGTTAATAGTGTTTAATTCCTGTTATCTCTTATTGTTCACTCCTCCAGAATCTCATAGATGTTGAACAACATATGATTATTTTAATGGCAGCAGACATGAGCCACATAACCTTAAGTGGAAGACTGACACAGTGGACCAGTAACTTGTTTTCAAGCAGCTATTTCTTTGTGTACCTTATATTTATCAACAATTGGCAGCCTGATTGGTCCATCAACTGATCTGTTGAAGTTTGGCAAGTTATCCAGATATGGAATAAAAGGTAGTCCGCTGAAAGAGAGAAGGAAAAAAAAAAAACCAGAACAAAACAGTGCCATCAAGGTCTACAGTACATCACTGCTCGTTTCAGATGAGACATTCTTCTGTAATAACAGGGGATGCGTTTAACATCCTTCAAGAGACGATGACACCTGCATCAAGTTTGTAATGATCTGTATTCCTTCCCACTTTTAAAGCCAAGGAAAAGCAGGAGGACGGCATTCAGCAGTGCCATTGTGCTAGCGTGGAATTTTGACTCTTCCCAGAAGCCCATAAGTGATGGAAACAGCCGACACCTGGATTCTGTTGTGCTTTCACCCATTGGAACTTAACTACCCTGGGGGGGGGGGGTGTTCATGCCACTTACTCGTCTAGCACTTACACAACCACTAGCAGAACACACATCCGCTAAAGGAACAATGCTTCCTTTTGTACCTTTCCTGCTAGTGTTGTGTTGGATCCAGCCCTGAATTCCACTGAGGCAAATGCTCTTTTCTTATCACCAGTTATCCTGATTTTCCCAAGCATGGTACAAAAATTTAAAACACAGTCCTTGCCTCTGTGCATATACACTAATAGGCACAACAGAAAGAGACATGAGCCCAGTGGAAAATTATGCTTCAACAATGCCAATTACTAGTGGAACTTAACATTAACACAGAAAGGGCCCTGCAACCTAATGAGGTTTGTAGCAGAAAAGACTTACACAAGGTGTAACTGCAGCAGTCACTCACTTGGGGTGCCATCAGTAAAGGGATGCTTTTTTTAACAGCATCTTTCCCGCTCCGATGTCTTGGGCAGCCCTTAACACCCTCAACATTGTGCCTGGTGCTGGATGATGTCCACTCCCCACCCTACGCTTCCTCTGCAGGCCACTGGCCTTCCTCCCCTGAGTCTGCTCTCCCCCACTGCCCCACAACTGGGCCAGGTTGCACACATAAGCGATGTAAAGTTTTCCTTCTCCTTTAGTGATCAAAACTGAGGTGAAAGATGCTAGGGGAGGCATTAACGGAGAGCCACCAGGGGGCTTCTTCTGCATGTTTAAGGCAGCACCAGAACATTCTTCAAGCATGCTTTTGATGGTTAGTGACTGCTGCTTCTGCACTGAAGTGTGAGACAGTGTTAACATGCCCTGCTCTGCCCTGTAACGGGTGGCTATTTTAACAACCATGTAAATTATCATTTTACCAGGGTTTATATTTTATGTTGCGCCTTTGAAATTTCCTGAGCTGCTTTGGATCCAGTTCTCTAAAGACATGCAGGACTCGGGTTCAATAAAATAAGCTACGTACATATACCAGGGACAGAAGTCCGACTGCTCCTTGAGGTTTGCTCCAGTCAGTCCCGAACAGGGCATGAAATGAATATCCTTTTTTGGATTGAAGCCCACTTTCTTCAAGAATGGCACCAGTTTCTCTTTACATTCTTCATACCTGAGAAGGTTCACCAAACAGAAGAAAAATTGGCCTCTGGACCCTCATGTTAAAGATGCTGAGGCAGACCAAGCATTGTACAACACCTGACAAGATCAGTTTGTCCGTGTGTTTCAATGGAATTCTTGGTGGAGAGAAGTCAGGTTGAATCATGTTCAAATGGCTATTTCAGTGCCTTCCAAAGTGGCAGGGCTGCATGAAAAGATTTACCGGTGTTCAGAAATGGAGCCATTTCTGCACCGATAATCATGGCACTGACATATCTCAGAAACCAGGCTATACAGAACATCGTTCTTGAATATCCAGGTTCAGAGAAAGGGAAGAGGGGTGGGGGGGGGGGGGGCATTGTGTAGGCCTCTGTGCACCCGGCCTGCATCAGAATGCCCATGGGTGGTTTGAGTGTCCTTCTTCCCAATGCACAAGCTTTCTATATGCAGGGAGATACCGAATCACTGTGTAGATCTAAAAATCTCTTTGTTCAGTTTCTGAGCAAGGGGATGAGGCACAGAAAAGCAAAACAGAAACTGGAAACATGTATTTTTCATCAATGCCACAGCTTTCAGCCTTGCCACCTGAAGGCCATTTGCTTGGTAAAGTTTCTTTTCCATTTTTGAAGACAAAATGCAAAAGCTGGTTTGGAAAATACTGGCAACCTGCTTTGCTACCATTTGCACAGGAAAACCCAGAAGCATTTCAAGGAATTTGGGACACTGCTAGGTGGATTTCTTCGTTTAGTTTCACTGGGATACAATCAGTACAGGTGCTCACCCAGACAAGGACCAAAGGAGAACTTCAACAGGGGTTTGGCCATTCTACGTACAGGCAGCGACATGGAGGGAAACCAGTTCTGCACTTCTGCAGACTACATCTTGGTCAATCCACTGGCAGTGTGTAAGCAAAGGGGCACCCATACTCCAATGCCAAGATTAAATTTTCCATATGGCTGGAGACACTTGACCGACGACATCCGATCTCCAGACATTACAATAATGAAGTGAGACTGAACTCATTCTTAATGCAAAAGATGAATTCACTAAAACCAGAACCTTCGCTTTCAGTACGAGTAACAGTGCCAACGGCGCAGATGTACTAACCGTTCAGTGCTCCAGTTCACAGTTGGATCATCCATTTTATTAATAAGAACTATTAAATGCTTTACACCTGCTGTTTTTGCTAACATGGCATGCTCCCTCGTTTGCCCGCCTTTCTCAAAGCCAGTTTCAAATTCTCCTTTTCTTGCAGAGATAACCTAGACAGAGGCGAAGGCAAGTCAGTGTTTCAAGCAGGAGGTTATTCCTTGTTCTTCTCAGTTAACGGCTCCCAGAGCGTGCTAAGTCCGTGGCCCTTGTAACCCGGCCTGCGAGATGAACGGCTCCGTTTCCATAAGCCTAGGCTACCAGGTTATGGACACAGATGTAACTATTGGGTAATAGCCATTTCCTGAACATGTACACATAAAGTAAAAGATGAGTCTGTTCAAACTGGGTACAGTATTAGCTATAAGCACAAAGGTACAACCTTTTCAGCTAGCAAGGCAAATTCCATTTTGGAGAAGTTCTTGGGGGATGCACTGCAGAGGCAGCAGGGCCAAAGGGGAAGGGGCCAAAACTACCAGTGCCTATTAGCTTAAAGCGCTTGCTGTCAGTAATTCAGGGTGCAATCCTATGCATGTTTAGACCAAAAGAAGTGCTATAACCCCCAGGATCCTGGGAGTTGTAGGATTTTTCATGTTTAAATGCACATAGGATTGCCCCTTAATGCCCTTGGGCCTCTTTTGAAGGCTTTAAACATTTAAGAATGAGTAGAAAGGGGCACAAAAGCCAGGAGACCACCAAATGACTGGAGGTTGGGGAAAAGGCCAAGAGCTAGGGAAGTGGATGGACCCTCAGGGAAACCAGACTGGACCCCGACAAGGGCTGCATTTGTCTTCCTGGCCTGAGGTTCTGCACCCCACACTATACAGTGGATCATCAGGTAACACTTTTGCCAAGAACTCCGTTAAACAGAAGAGCAACTGAGTGGCCTCTTACCAACACAGCTAGATCAGCTTGAGAAGCACCGCCAATCATATTTGGAACAAAGCTTTTATGACCCGGAGCATCTAAAATTGTGAAGTGTTTCTTCTCTGTTTCAAAATAAGCGCGTCCCACCTCCACAGTTTTACCTTTGTCCCGTTCTTCCTGGTTTGTGTCTAAGGCCCAGGAAAGGTACCTACAACACACACACACAAACACACACAAATATAAAGCAAGGCGGTATTAGTTTTGAGGACTGAATAATTCTGGTGAGTCCATATACAAATACCTCTAAAATCAGGTAGGGACTTCTTAAGACAGGTCTGCACAGTGGCCAAATGTACCTTGTTCAGTCCTTTGTTCAACAGGAAGCAGCACTCTGTCGAGACAGTGCCATGCCTTGCACCCTGTGATGCAACCCTAAGGAAGAGGGACGTAACTGCGAGCCTCAGCTTGATCCCCCGATCACTTACTATCCACCACATCAGACCTGAAGGTCCTCCATGCACTGAAGCTCCAGAAGCAAGCAGCACTCTTCTGGACACACAGCTCCTAAGAACGCATGATGCGGGACTGGACTGAGGCTTCCGAAAGGAAGCCCGTATTGGTCATATGGCACCATCGGACTTTACAAAGGGGCCTGGTCCCCGTCCCTCCTTTGAAGGTGCTCCCCAGCACCAGCTTCTGCTGTTTGAGCCCCTTAATCGCCATCTATTCCTTGCTTCAAAGCAGCACTAACTCTCCTCCTCTCTGACCTTTCCCCCAGTGCCAGCTGTGCTGCTTGACACTGGGTCTCCTTGGACAAACGGGGAGGCATTCTGGCTCCCTCGCTGCCACTGCCTCCGCCCACCCCACTGACTGTCCTCCCCCTTCACAGCCCCCAGCCTCAGGGGGGCGTTCACCGTTCGGCCCAGTGTGCCAGAAAGCCTTCCTGTTTGCACAATGCAGTGCCAGCTCCAGGTCTTCTGGAACGCTTGGCAAGATACCTTCCACGGGCTCCCTCCCTCCTCTCCGCCACCAGCTGCTCCTGCTCCTCTCCCTCATCTCAGTGGCCACCGGCTTGCCTCATGGGCCACACCAGTCCTCCCCACTAGCACCACCATGGTGTGGGGCACAGTGAGAGGCAGCTGAAGCAGCAGACCGCGGTGACCAAGAGAAGGCGCAACTCCAGGGGGGGTCTTGTTAGCGAGTCCCTGGAGGGTTATGGATCCACTGCAGCTGCCCAGCCATGCCTATTCTGGGTGAGGATCAGGGCCAACAGAATCACAGATCAACATCTGGGGACCCAAGGTGAGCAACCGCTGCATGAAGGCTTGGATGGTGACCCTCAGTGCCACCCAATCTTCGACGGAAGGCTCAGAAGTAGCAGGTGCACTAAGGGCACTCAGGCCTCTATGAAGGAACGAAATTCTGCAAAGACCCTCCTCAGCCGTCCGAAGGAAGCCAGCAGCGCTTGGGGAGAGTCTGGGTCCTGGTTCAGCAATCCCCCGATGCGGCAACACCCGCCTGGCTCGACCCCAGGCCCCGAGACCCTGGCAGTCATCCGTTCTGGCGAACTGCGGTCACGGCTGTCATGGGCAGTGTGGGTAAGGGGTGCGATGCAGCACTTCGAACGGGAGCCAGCCACCCAGGGCCAGATCTGATCCCTCCAACAGAGAGGGTCAATGAGAACCGAAACGATCCACAGGGCTCAAGCCACTCTCCTCTTAACACATAAGGGTCATACCAGGTTTCTCTGTTTTTTTCTTTAGCTTCTCTTTCGTATTTTTCCAGTGTTCGTTTATCAACCATGCCTGTTAAATACCTGGAAATAGATGTAAACATTTGTTACCATGAAGAAAAGTGATTTAGGAGGATTGTGGGTTTTGTTTGCTTTTGGAGGGGAACAAAGAGGCAAATACAAACAGCTCCATCTATTGATGTCTATCAATGATATATTGCTATATGTAAAACAGCTACTCTGAAGAAAGCAGTTACCTTTCCAGTGTAATGCCTTCCAGATATTTTGATGACAGCTCCATCACACTAACCATTCGTCACGTTGAATGGGGATAATGGGAATTGTACTCCAAACCATTTGGGGAGCACAAGGTTGGGCACAAAGTAGATTTCAGACAGATTATAATTTCACTTCAAGAAATGGTGTTTTGTACGGTGGACAGGAGGTGCTGACGGTGAGGAAGCATCATTTCTTAAACAAGTCTACACATTTACAAAATGCTCTTCCACAAAATGAAGAAAAATGGCAGCAAAACACTACAGGGAATCAGCAACCCTAATCATGAAGACACACAAGGGAAGATTCAGACAAAGACTTTAGTAAAGTTTAGGACAAAATCCTATGCACATTCAACAGAACAACCTGCAATTCCAAGCAACAGGCTGGGAAATGCAGGACTTTTTTCTGTCTAAACCTGCACAGGACTGAGTTCTAAAGCAACCAAGCATTTTATAGGCAGAAAGAGTGACCAGTTTGAAAGAATCACCATTAATAGTTGGTGGGTGGGGGAGTGGCTTACATTATTTGTCCTCCAATTGTTGATTTTCCAGCATCTAATGAAAAGATTTAGAGAAGACAGGTATTAATAAATCAGAACTTCAAATTAGCTTTTTATGAGCAAAGCAAAGACTCAACATTAAGCACTGGGTTTGCTTATCAGGATGCATCCTGGATACTCAGGATGTCTCAGCAAGGCTGTTGCTGTGGAATGAGTATTTTTTCCATAAAAAGACGAGAGGAATCCCAATGCTATAAATTTTCATGGATCCTTTTTTCATAAAATGGAACAATGGGCCAAAATCCCCCCACATTTTAGCGTGTGTGTGACATTTTTCTGTGCTCCCTTGGCACTAGAACAACCAATGACTAAACCATTCTTGTTTGCATAAAGTTTCACCTGAAAAGAGACTCTTGGCTTGACGCTTCCAAACAACGCCGTAATCTCAGCAGGTGGATGCCGCCTCCTCACAAGGCAGTAAATGCAAATCCAGCTAGAAAGACCAATAGTCTCACCTGGTGTGAGGCAGCTTCCTATGATCCAAATGCCAAAACTGGCATGAGCCAGGTTTTCTCCCTTCACATGTTCAAGGCCACAGACCGTTTCTTTGCAAAAGTTCTCATTTCAACAAATTATATCCAATAAATTCAATCACCACCAAATGAATCTCTGAGTATGCACAGAGTGCTCTGTCGAACCCGATTTAGCAACTATTTCCGGGAAGCTTCCTTTTGAGTATGTCTGGGCCCCATCCCTCTGGGAGGGCCCTTTTGGAAGCAATCAGGCCTTTTCTCCCTATGCCATCCCTTTAGCTGGCTAGCCCTCCTCTCCCAGTGCCATGCCGTGGGGTCAAGAGTCGTACCAGCTTCGTCTGGCTCTGAGAATTCCTCTTTAGCCCCCCTCCCAACATCTGTACATCTTGGCTATTCCCGGAGTTTACCTTGCCAGCTGGAGAGAGTGGCCCTGAGACAAGCTTCTCCACTCCTTCCATCTCAGGGTCTGAAGCCCCAAATTCCCAGGCCCCTCCGTCTCCTACTCCTCATTCTCTGACTCAAAGACCAGACTGGTGTGACCTGGGAGTGCTTGCCAGGAACAACTGTCTGCCCCATTCCCAACACAACCAGCCAAAGCTTACTGGGCGACCTTGGGTTAGTCACTCTCAGCCTATCCTATATGTCCTTGCGAGGCAGGGGATGAAGGAGGGGCATGCCACATACATTCTCTTGAGTTCCTCAGAGGAGGAGCAGGATAATAAACAATGAGGACTATAATTTATGTTAGCCAAGTTAATGGATTTGAGCATCTCTTTAAACTTTTGCTAATCTGCACATGTGGCCCAAATCATCCAGACTGCACAAAGAGCAGAAAGCATAGCCTCCAGAGTTGTACTCGGAAACATTCAAGAGGATTCCCTTCAGGGCAGAGTAGTTAGCCTGCCATGGTATATCCCCCTGTCCTGTGGCCTTTTGCAACTTACCTACATGCCCAATGAATACGACGTTAACATGCTCTTTTTTGGGTGCACCTGGGGGTGCGACCATGGATTTGGGTTTTGGCAACTCCTCCTCTTCCTCCATCATTTCCTGGGTACCCTCCTCAATAGGTCCTGCATCTCCCGAAGGCCCGCTTGTTAGTTCAGGTTCAATGGCTTCTTCTTTGTGGTCCCATGATTCTTCAGGGGACATTTCTGTTTCTCCGTTTTCTACTGGAAGTTAAGAAAGGTTTATTGGCTCTCTCCTAAGAAAAAGGGTTAGCATACTTCAGAGCCCAGCGGGTTGTCTCTCAGCACTTAAATATACTTCTAGCAAGTTCCAGGTTCTTTTCGCCATTGTTCTGTTGGTTGATGCTTTTGTTTTTCAACGCAAGCTGCAATACGTAAGGACTACCATACTACTTTGATGCAGTGAAGCAGTTTGCAGGCCTGGCGGTATTGGAATGCTTGCTCTCTTGCTTTCAAAAACTCCCCCGCCCTCATGTTTGTGTGTTTATGGATTTGATTTAAAACTTTTGTATACCATCCACAACCAAATGGTCTCACGAAGGTCTCACAATAAAACAAAGTGGAGCACAAGCATCCATTCTATACAATAAAACCCACTTAAACCATTCCGTGCACTTAGGTTAGAACTACCTGTGAAAACTGCCCCCAACTATCTGGTAGTCTGAGGTGCGAGTTATGCTTTTAGCAGGTATTTTTAGGACAGGGGTGGGCCAGCTTAGGTTTATGGGACAGACTTGTACATTTTGAATCCCAAGGTCCAACCACAGGGCAAGAGAGGAGTTCGAACGGATACATGTGATTCTTGGTGGTGCCTAATTTTTCACTTTGTTCAAGTGAAGTGCAAAGGACCAAGAAAGGGCCATTCTGTGAATGAAGCTCCTTCTGGTCATGGAGCTAAAATCTTTGTTCTTAGTGTCAAAAATAAGGCCGCAGTTCTTTCAAGCAAAAATCCACTCCTTGTCCCAACTCCCCCAAAAGCATTCTTTCTTTCAGTAGCCAAACATGGAAAAAAAGCCTTTCATTGTTGTTAATGCTGAATGAATGGGAATCAGAAACAATTCTGATCTGCTGCATATCACCCCGACATCTACCAGGGCATCCAAAACTATTTTCTTCTTATTCCTGTTATGAAACAATTGCAAGAAGCAGTAACCCTTTATGGTCCAACTAAAATTTTTCAAATCCATGAGCAAGGCTGCTGCACATTGTTCTGAAGCCATAAAATGGAAGGGAACCAGTTAGGAAGCTCTTCCATTGAGCAAGCCAAGCACTGTCAAAACGCATTTCTATCCGTATTACATAATCTCTTACCAACTGGTTCGGAGATGTCCATACTGACAGCAGCATTCAGCCCTAGACAAACAGAACCAAGTATGTTAAACGAGTAATACTATCCTCCAGTTACTACATGCCTTTAAAGCTTATGATGATTTTGCAGAGGTTTAACAAGTTTTCTAAGCACCCCCACCCCATTTTTCCACAAAAAACACACAATTACCTTCACAAGATGATGGATGTTCCTCTAGTGAAGATTCTGCAGATGCCCCTTAGAGAGAGAAAAGATTCGAAGTTGAAGTAAGTCCCAGGATACAACTCCACTGCATGTTCAAGAAGCAGAATACCTCATACATCTTAATAATCGTATAATTGTTGTTCTTCATTGCTTGCCTCTCTGTATTCCTTGTATTCCTAAATATTGCAAATAGTAATTGTGTGCATAAGGATTCACAAGTTTTTGGAAGACTTGCCTAGACGTGCATTTTGCCTGGTATACGCTTTTGGTATATGCTGGACTGTTTACATATGCAATGCTGAGCTAGGCTTGTGCACTTCCCCTCTTTTTTCCTCCAATGCAGCTGTTGGGACATGAGAATAATACACTTGTAAACAAACTCCATGTTACAACTAAACTCAGGAACTCTGGTTATTCAATACTTTTTACTAAGCCAGGAACATATGCCATGATTTGATCCCCGGTTAATAAGCCACAGTTTAAATTAAACAGAGTTCTGAATTCAAACATGATGTGGAACTGTAAGTTAACCAAAGCAGAAGTGAAAGCTTCTGCGCTCTTCAAGAATGCACTACCAGAGGGGGTGTGTGAAGCTCTAAGGCTCACCGCTCATGCACGCAATGCTAAAACATGGTTTAGTGGCACATGCTAAAAGTCTTTTCTTTGTAGGCTAATTTGCTGCTTTCAAAAAGTAGCAATAAAAACCTATTGCGTTTACCCCTACAAAGTGAACCGGAGGTTGCAATTCTAGAAGCCCAGTCTGCATCAGTATAAAAATTTCTGGAAATGAGCGTGGGCCATGAGTGTGGTGCTTTGATGCACTGAGCCAGAAGAGACTTGAAGAGGAGAGAGCAGGCACTTTGCTTCCTAAACTCTTAAATTGCTATTGTACCAAACAGCAAACTGAGGTGTTTTTGGGGCCCCGAAATTTCATTTAAAGCCTTTACATTTACCAGAATTAACAATTCTGCACTATCTGAGGCTGGCAAGGTGGGGCACAATTCAAAACACTCATGTCTGTTGAATTAAGGGTCCAAACAGAAATTAAAAAATAAGAAATCTCACAAGAGGTTTGCAATGAACAAAAGGCACAGATCCAGCAATTCCAAGCACACTTGCCCCAAAGAAAAACACTGGTTAAGAATGGCATACCTTTACAGACTTTTAGAAACCCCAACCTGTCTTTCAACATTGAGCCACAATGAGATGTGTTTGCATGCCTTGTCTCAGCAGGCGGCAATGTTTTGGATGGCTGGGCTACAGTGGACCAGTGGATCTGGTAAAGTAAATTTACAGTGTGCTCACACTTTTACAGGAATCAGATTCTGAGCTGCGTTACTCTAGTTCTGCTAGCACTGCAGGCTTCTGACAGAACAGAGCAGGCCACGTGGGCAGAAAGCCAATATCCCAGGCATGCAGGAAGGGGTGAATACAGGTCAGGTGCAGCACTGGGGGAAGATAAAAAAGCAACAGGAGAAACACCCTCTTTGGCAACCTAATTAAAAATGCCAGAGGGTGCAGCGGTTGTGCAGGATGAAGCTGGCTGGTCCTCCAAACATCTGGTCCACCTTTTCCAACACAGTGCCTTCGGTATGTTGGACTACAACTCCCATCATTCTCCCTTCAAAACAACTGGGGTCACAGAGTACAACTAATTCCAGTTTAGGGTCTCATTTCTAAGACTAGGAAAAAAGAGCCACAAATGTACCAGGAAAAGGTCTTCACTGCTAGTAATACAGACAACCAAATGAACCCTTGCTCAGAACTAACAAACCTCAGAGTAACAGATGCTGGAAACAGACAGGAGGAACCATCATCTAATTGCATTTTTCTGTAGATCAAGTGCCACGCAGCTAGCGTTCCATTTTCCAGCACTTGAACTAGAATGACTTTTGGTCTGACCTAGCATGCAACGTTTTCAGAGCCTCTACTCTTTCTAAGACCACTCAGAAGAACGATGAGAATTCAAGGACTCCTTCCTGCAACAGTCACTGAATTATTTTCCTCTGGATGTCTCTGATCTTAAGTGTACTCTGTATTCCTGTTGAGCTTTTCCCATAGCCAGTGGCTCTCTGGGGTAAGAGAGGCTGTGCATAATTGTCTTTTCTGCTGCCTCTCAATTCCAGCTCATGAAGAATTCTTACTGCTTAAGGGAGCAATATTAAGTTACATTGTGTATTTGTGACCCAAGCTCATGAAGTTACCTAGCAAGTCCTGTAGCATTTAACTCTGCTCAATCCAAGAACTTTATTCCTGTCGACACCAAACGTAAGGTGAATATTAATAAAGAACTGCTGAGCAGAGAGTAGGCTGCAAAAGGCCAACCTGCCTACCCAAGGGGGCTCTGCTGTTCACTCTACTCTTTCAAGACTTGCCTTTTAACAGTTAGTAGTCTAGACCATCATTCCACAGTTCATGCAGGTATGCCCACGCTTTGCAAATCGATATTTTACCAGTGACAACTGTTGCTGGATATTTAAATACATTGCAGCTGACCCTGTTTGTGCACAAGCACCAGCCGCTGGTTTATTAATTATCCAATGGGTGCTGGGGGCTGCACAGAAGTGAGCACAGCACTGCAAATATCTGGTTTAGAAAACAATTTGAGAGCCTGGACTGTGTTCTAGGCTGGATGTGTGGCAGAAATAGGGAATGCGCAGGAGACAGCACGCTCGCTCCTGCACGATTCCAAGAACCCCAGTGCTGCTAATATGTGAACTGGGTTCATATGTCCTGTTCCTCCTTTATTTCCCAAAACAGCAATTAATGCCCAGTCAGCTTCTCCCAGAAACATTTTGTTCCACATGGAATTTTAAAAACGTCCTTCTGTTCCCATTGAAATATCAGATACTATCTGGCCTTCTCAATATGTGCACATCAGTCATTTTCCAGGTAAAGTATTAATGTGCTTTAGTGCTTCATGGAATGGTTCCCTCTTTGTATTCATTGCATTTCTATACCAACCAACAGCTAAAACTCTTTTGGCAGTTTCAAGAATTATGTTCCTGATGGAGGTTATCCAACTTCCTGATATAAGAAGTGCTTCAAAGCTGCATTTCAGCTTCCAAAGCAATTTATGGTTATGTATTTAATGCATTTCCTAGCTGCCTTAGGCAGTTTACAATATATAAAAAAATTAAGTATCACAAATTGTACAAGCAACACAAAGTGAAAGCATTATAAAACAAGCAGGTGACAATAAAATTTCAAGTACCTGATAGCAGCCAATGTGGCAAAGAGAAAGTTTTTTAAATCTCTCTGAAAGTGCTAATCTTCTGATTGTAATGGAAATTCGTATGGCAGGAGCTGCCACTGAGAAGGCCCTCTTCTATCTTCACAGGCCACCATTCTTGCAGGTCTCAGTGGCTGGCCAGTGAGTAGGTAGTCCTTCATATTACTGAGATGCACCCCATTTAGGGCTCGTGAGGACAGAGCCAGCACCAGATGGGTGCAGTAAAGAGTGGGAGCGAGTGCCGCAGCTGAGTTGCGCTCTTTCTGTTATACCAACTAGTATCAGCTACAATGAGTTGTATATAATTTGAAAAAATTATGAAAATCTGACAGGTGCAGAACAGTTCATGCTACATGCAATGCAAAGTCCTAGCCACTCAAAGAAGTGGGTATCCAGAATCTGCTCCAGGTTTTCAGAATTTGGCACCATCAGGGCTCCTCCTGCTTGCCCAGCATTAGAACAGCAGCCCTGGTAGTTGCAGGATTTGTCACACACGCAACTGCAGCTGCCAGGGGCCCTGGGGAAAGAGCTACTTAAGAACTGGTTCTTCCCTCCAGAAGCTGCCCTAGCAACTCCCATTTCTTCACTTCAGAGGCTCTCTCTGTGGTTGGTTCCTGCTCCTGGACCCTGTTCCTACTCCTTGGTTCCTGCTACTTCATGCTGACTTCTGACTCAGGTTTGGATACTCCCTTGTTTCCTGGACTGTGTTTCAACAGACTCCTGGTTTGACTTTGGCCTGTCTGATTCTGAAATTTGGACTTGTGACTTGGACTGGTAATTGAATTCTGGCTTTGACCACCTCACCTTGTTTCCTGGGTCCTGGTTTATTATCGGTACCCAGCTGGCAATGTCCTGGACCCTTACACAGGTTAAAATTCAAAGTCATCTTCAAAGGCAGTTCCAGATATCGTTAATTACGGAAGTCCAGCTTGGATGTTACTCAGATATGCCTCACTCAGGCTCAACCTGCTTCCCCTAATATTTCATGTCATGTAGCGCCAGTCACACTTTTTGGCACGAACTATGACTGAGTCGGTGTCATCCTTAATTAGATGTTCTACACATTCTACATGGGTTATCATGATGGGAACAAGCCCAGGCTAGCCCTGCTAGATGTGCTTTGCTAGCACCCTCTTTTTGTTTGTTTACCACACCTAAGAGAAGGCAAGAATAATACCCACTATACTCCCATGTTCTCCATAGGAAAATTACTGGGAATTTAAAGTATTTCCTCTTTTTAACAGTTCTGAACATTTAGGGTAGTAGTAATAGGATCCCTTTTTGGCCCCAGGACACTAGAAGACTCGGTCGAGGACATAATCCCTCAGCTCCAGCCAATGGGTAGCAAACCTGTTCTCCCAAGCTGCATCAATTCAATAATCAATGTTATGGCTTCTTAAAATCGGCAGCAGTGAGTGGCATGTAGAGTAAAAAAAAATTAGTTATCAACATGTTCTTCTGTTGTAAGTTGCCCCAAGCCATCAGTGATGGATGGGTTAGAGAAGCTTTAAATAATAAATAAATAAATAAATAAATAAATGCATGCTGGGACAGGTCAGCTCAAGCTGGATGCAAGAAACTGGTTCACAGTTGCATGCAAGTTAGGGAGGGAATAAAAGAAGAATCAGATACAGAAAGTGCGAACTTCAGTAGACAAAGAATGAATCCAACTGAACTGTTGAAGGACTAGCTCATCTGAAGCACAAACAGAGGGCTCGGCTTGCTACAAGTATGGGCTTCTGAGGAACTGTTTTGCAACACCTTGGACTCTTCTGCTCTGGACCCAAATGCAATAAACATG